TGCCATACTTATGACATAGCAAACTTTGAAAGACTACTACTAACTGCAGATCTCCCTACTAAGATGTTTGTGTATTGTTTGGATTGAAAGTTCAAGGTTTAGCCATATAAGATCATAGTCACTCCATGTTATTTCCAAGCCTGCATGTTATTCAGCAAATATCTCAAGTATAACATTACCATTTTATGTTAGTATTATTTATTTAGGGAGGTCAGACTGTGCCATTAACTAAATAGAGCTCCTCTGAGGTCAAATCACAGTTATTTGGCTTTGCACTTCTAGAAATGTGTACAATACCTAGAACATGCTTAGCCACTCATTCAGCTAATTTTTTTTTTTAGGAAAGAAGGAAGGGAAGGAAGTAGGGAGATAGGGAGTTGGCAAGGTAGAGAGATGTAAGAAGTGATAATAGAAGAAGTTAGTAGTCCACAGTCTCATTTTGCTAATGATAGTTATCTGAATCGGGGATTATAAAAGGGAAAGCCTATGGATCAACCTCCCAAGCTAGACAGTAGCTAGAGGCAGAGCAAATCCTGGTGCAAATGGAAGAACTCTCAGGACATAGATTCTGAAGGGTTTCTTTTCTTTTTTCTTTCTTTCTTTCTTCCTTTTTTTTTTTTTTTTTGTGGGCTATTTTTATCTTTGAAGAATCATTCTTTGTAAGTATCAGTTAGGCTGTTCAGCTGTGTCATCTAGCTACTTCTGAATCCATGTCCATCCACAAGTAGATACCTGGCCCTACACTACCTAGACTAGCTGGGATAGCGTAGCCTCTGCTTTAGTAATAAACCCCAAAATCTCATTGGCTAACACAATTTTTTTTCTCATTCACGATACATGTCCCATTTCCAGCTGGCAGAGTTGGCTGATGTAGATTCCATTTCAACTTGTACTTCCTTCATCACCAAAATAGAGAAAATCAGAGGCGAGTCTCATTACTTCCTCTCACATTTTATTTGCCAAATTAAGTCATACGGGCATGCCTAACTTCAAAGGGGATAGAGAAATGCAATCCTTCCGTTTGTGTCAGGAAAGGGGAGAATTAGAATATTTATGAATTATTCAAAAGATTACCACACTAACAAAAGCTCAGGCCCTAAGAGATCACCAAGTGTATAGCTAAGAGGTCAAAGCAATAAATCAAAACAAAACGAAACACTCCTGTATAAAACCCACTATTCCCCCAACACTTGCAGTTATATATACGCACACAGGATCTTCTAATGTTGGGCCTTTCCATCCAAGTTGATATAACGATCTTTGCTTAGCTACAAAAAAGTAATGTACTGCCCACTACCACCTCTTTAAATAGAGCAGCTATCCTTTTGTCTCCAGGTAAAGTTGCTTGTTTGGGGTAGAGTCTTCCTCGGCCAATATTTTACTAACCAAATCAGAGGTATTCACCAAGTTGTGCCCAACTTTAAAAAATTATCAAGCAACTTTTTCTTCTAAAATGATTTTTTTTGTTGTTCTTTTACCATTTATATTTCCCTTCATTGCTAAGGATCATAACTTTGCATACATTATTTCATTTGGATCTTTACATCAACCTATATCCCCCAAGTACAGACAAGGAACCAACGCAGAGAGTAATAAGTAATTTGCCCAATGCAACACAGCTAATGCAGGCATACCTTGGTGATATTGCAGATCCAGCTCCAGACCACCACAATAAAGTGAATATTGCTCTCATTTTTCCTAGTCTGTGGACCACTAGCAGTTGCAAGGTGATTTACCATTCACTGTTAATAAAATTTTTGCTAGGGTTTTATTAACAAGACATTTCCTGTTTTTTACGTATTAATGTGATAGCTACCTTTGTCCTTCTGGTGACAGCTATGCCAGACGAACATGCTGACTGGAAACTCTTCGGCTTTTGATACAATTTATTCATCGACTTCCCAGATTTGGCCTCTGGAGATGTCCTGGAACTCATTCAGCTGCCCGAAAGACCAAGGTTGGACTAAAACAGAGGTCAGAATGGGAAGGTATTCACTTTGAAGAACAGTAGTTTTGATAGCGACCTACAGTTTGTTGACAGTCTTCATCTACTGGTATTAGTATTTCTATCTCAATGTCTGGGAAATATGTGGTTCTGATAGAATTTCCTGATTTTAAAATATCGTTTTCCCCTGAAAGCAATAAGAATGTCTAGCTACTGCATGTGAGAGCTGCTATCATGTTCCTTTAATTTAGTTTTTGACTTGAGTGTTGTATTTCATGCTAAGGTTAAATATGTTCCTTCTTAATTACCCCATTTAAGCCCATGGTGGATTCCAAAGGGTTGTTTTCAAAAGACCACTTTTAAAATGCCAGGATACACTTGCTTAGAGACATGCCTCAGTACACTCAAAGAGTAGGGGCAAAATCAAAATCAATGGTTATGTTTGTCTTTCTGGGAGGCACTATATTTCTAATCAGTCACTTGGCATGGGTTTCTAAAATCATATTGTATGTCAAGCTGTGACCTAGTAGAGTTGGAAGGGATAATAAGCTGGACTCACAGGAGTCTATTTATATCGGCTTAGTTCTAGGAAGATGAGAGCCTTAGAGTTAAGTGTTTACCGGAAGAAATTACTGAAGGGAACTAAGGAAAATGAGGGGAAAAAACTGTACCTTCCAAAAACTCTGGTTTAGCACAGACTACTGGGTTGGTGGGCTCTTCCTACAAATATTAACTGTAGCTCCACTTTGCCTGGACGGCAGATAGTCTGAATAAATAAATCCAGAAAGGAGGCTATGCCAAAGGTATACCACACCTATGAAATTTCTGGAGCAGGAATACAGTTGTTGGGGAATTATGTATGTGGACCATGGGACTGGAGAGACTTCATTACTAAGCCCTGCTCTGCCATTTGTATTGTATTGAACCGAACACTAACTGTATTTGAAAGTATAACTTATTCAAGCTGCTGAGCTAGATGACAAGAGCAGTTTCTGAAAGTATGTAAGAAAAGAACAATAAACGGAAGGTGAAGCCAATCAACATTATAGTTTACAGCTAGAAGGAAGCTATGAGAGGAGTTTTTTGCAGATCTATATGATGAAACCAAGCAAGCCTTTGAATTCAAGAAAAGCTGAAAATCAAGGCACTGTTCTCGCATGTCTAAGTAGTTTACTCTAAAATATCTATCCCAGTGTTCTCCGAACAAATGACTTGGGGCAAGGGGGAAGTGGGGGGCAAGGGGCATGTAATACAAAGAAAAAATGAATTGAAAACATTTAGGGTCTTTTCCCTCCCTTGAATCTCTAGCCCCTGAGAGCTAGCCCATTAAATCTCCATCATAGGGAGTTTAGCAATCACCGTCTTCCCTTTGCCACATCCTGTCTTCACCTATGGATGAAGATGCAAGCTTCCATAAAGCCCTTTGTATGATTCTAATAAAGGCTTATAAAATGAATAAGATTTTGCTTTCATGGATGTGCTAGAGCTAGGTCTTACCTGCTTGCAAGATTTGATTATTGAATCTAATATTCAGGAGTTTTGTGAACATTGGTGGCTTGGCACTGGCCATGGTGGGAACATTTACACCATGAAAATTGGCAAACACTACAAATCAGTGCTTTCTTTTATTTGAGATCTAGTTTACCAGCACACCAATAGGTGTAACATTTGGGAGGAAAGCTTTCAGGATTAAGAGCACTTAAAAAAATTGTTTTCTGCAAAATGCTTTCTTGTTTCTGTTTGGTTCACGACTTGGGAGAGAGCTTCAGCATGGTTTAAAAGCTGCCTACTGACTGCAGGGAAAGGCTCAGGCAGAAGCTTTGACACCAGAGGAATGACAAAGGGGCCTCTCCAGAAGAAGGCCACTGGGCTCCAGAGGCTCCTAGTTGTATTTGAAGGTGAGCCTTTCCAAGAGACACTCATCCAGCCCAACCTGGGGGCTGGCCAGCCTGTGAGGTTAGTCAGGTGGTTGCCCACCTTCTTGATGAGTTTCCCCTCCTCATCTAGGAATTGGCTCTCCAGGAAGTCAGAGAGATGGGAGCAGATCCAAAAGGGCCTGGTTCATGTTCTTCTCCAGGACCATGGCAGCTTCCATGGCATCTAGGGTTTTACTCATCTGGGGATGGCTTCTGCACCTCCTGGAAGAGGGTGCGGCTGTGGTGTTGGTTTTGCATCCTCAGGAGACACTTGGAGGCCTCAGCTTTTCCTCAGCCAACTCACAGAAGAAGTGGTCTCTAGAGCCACATAATTGCGGTCAAAATAGATGCCCAGAGAGAGGTAAGTGTAGGAGACCTGCAGATGCAGGTCGACCAGGCCATTGACGGCAGCCTCCAGCTCGGTGGAATAATTCTCACACATCTGAGAACTCATGGTTGATTCACATGCAATAAGAAACTAAGCTCAAAAAACAGCATTGGTTGACCTTGGAGGCAGAGGATGGCTGGCCGGGAAGATGGTTCAGAAGGTTGTGACTGGAAAAGAGGTTAGAGGGTGGTCAGAGGCTGGAACAAGGCACATCCCAAACACTGCTGAAGCAGGAGACAGGCTGCAGGACTGCACGGTGCACTGCAGTAATATTTTTAAAAGATACCCCTTTGCTAACATTGATTCTGAGGAACAGAACTCATGCCTGTCTCAAGAGTAACCATGACTTACCTAGGTTTTACTATACTAAATTGTAACCTTTCATGAGATATAATTTAATCCAAGGGTTAATGAAACCAGGTCATATATGCATGCATGACTCAAAACTGCAATCAGAATGGGATTCCCCTCAGAGTTCACCTTGAGCCAAACCACACCCGAATGTGTACTCTTGGATGAATGCTGTTTCTCCCTGTTGCCTTGTGAGCCTAATTAACAGTTCACAGCTCAATTCAGTCAGTTTTTCTGTTCAGATGGCCCAGTCTTTTTTTTTTTTTTTGCGGTACGCGGGCCTCTCACTGCTGCGGCCTATCCCACTGCAGAGCACAGGCTCCAGACGCGCAGGCTCAGCAGCCATGGCTCACGGGCCCAGCCACTCCTCGGCATGTGGGATCCTCCGGGACCGGGGCACAAACCCGCGTCCCCTGCATCGGCAGGCGGACTCTCAACCACTGCGCCACCAGGAAAGCCCAGGCCCAGCCTTAATGTAGGCAGCACTCTCTGTGACTTCACGTCTGATCTTGTTACCACCCCACACCCTGTAACACTCAGGAAATGCATGTGTCCTCCTTAACTGCCCTCCTAGCTAAGCAATAAACATGAACCCATGGTAAGGGGTGAAAGGCAGAAAATGGGTGTGACAGTGCCATTCCTTAGGCCAACTCTCCCAGAGTCAAGGGGATAAACAAGCCTTTATTTATTCATGAGCCAGGCAAAATATATATCTTTTGTGCAGGAATGGATAGATATGGGTTTGAATTACTCGGCTAGTTGCATAACCAATCCCTATTGGTTGGTAAGGAGAAAGGTTGCTTTAAACCACATGACCCAAGAACTCAGACATCACTCAGATAGGCAGGAAGGCCCCTTAAGTATCCAGTTCTAATGTTGAGATCTGGAAACTGTCTCCTTTTCTGGCATCTTCTCTCCATCCTTGCCTTAGCTTGTTGTGGATCAGCAGTCATTCATTCTTTCAACAAACATTCATTGATGCTTATACTGGGGTACATGTTGCAGGAAAAAAGAACATATAAAGGATATAACAGGTTTATATGAGGTTAAGTGATAAGGATTTTCCTATATTTCTTAGAGAAAAAAAGTCATTATTTAAGCTATATACTGTCTCTTTTGGCTCTTTATCTTTTTGTGATTTAAAGCCAGTAAATTATCTTTTAATAAAACAAAATATTAAGTCTCAAAATTATTTCTCTACTTTTATTCCTCCACTCTAAGTTGTAGTCCCAGAGTCACTCTCTCAGAGCCTAAAAGTAGATAAATAAAAAGACTCTAGACATGAACAAATTGGGAAAAAAAATTGAAATGATAATCCAGAGTGTCAACATTGTACCTCTTCAAGATCCTGACACTCAAAACCAGAGTCTTTTTGTAGGTGGTACAGGTCAGAGTAGGAGGAAATCTGGACTGGTTCTTATAAAATGGTAACCGTACTGGTTAGGCAAAAAGGAAATCTTAACATATTTGACAAACCTGCCACAGTATCAAAAGTGTTAGCATCGCTAACTTTTTCTTTCTCAAAATGATACTTCGTGCTAATTTGACCTCATTTCTTCATCAGTAGACCTATTCAGGAAAGGAGAGCCAACTTCTGAGACTCTGTAGGAAGTGGAGAAGAGGATGGGGGTGGGGCGTGATGAAGCTGATCCGTTCACCAGCCAGTCCCACAGCCAGTCAGGAGTGAAGATTACAGTTTCTCAGGGTGGAGGGGCAGGAGGAACATGATCCAGCAATTTTCCTTTATGGGAATGACTCTAGCAGAAAGTGAGAGGCATTGATGGTACTCCTAAGGCACAGCATTTTGATGAATTATCCATTACTTTCTCTCTCCTCACTCATACCTTTTAACACAACTGCTCACAAGAAGCAAAACAAACTGATTTCTGTGTTCTCATTTCTCTTAACCATTTTCCCATCCTGTGGCTGTGCTCTTGAACTCTGGAAGGGGGAGAAGGAAGGAAAGAGACCTGGATCTTTCAACTTTCAAAGCAGTTCCCAGTAATAGAGAATTGGCTACGTGTAGCCCAGACTGAAATATGTGCACACACAGACATGGAGCATCAGGTAAAAATAATCCACCTCTTGCTATGTTTTCAGTGAAATGCTGGTTCTTATAAGAAACTTAAAACATAAAGAAGCTTCTCAAGTGTGTTTTATCTTTAACATTTGAAAGTTAACTTTACAAACCATAATAATTTAATGGAATGTAATGTTTGGCTCTGATTTTTTGTTGTTGTTGTTGCTTTAAAATTTCACCAACATGTGGGGAGATAGGGATTGACATATACACACGAGTATATATATAAAATAGATAACTAATAAGAACCTACTGTATAGCACAGGGAACTCTACTCAATACTCTGTAATGACCTATATGCGAATAGAATCTAAAGAAGAATAGATATATGTATAACTGATTCACTTTGCTGTACAGCAGAAACTAACACAACATTGTAAATCAACTGTAGTCCAATAAAAATTAATTTAAAAAAAGCAGGAAGATGGCAAGCATCAAGATATTTCAAAGAAAAACAAAATGAAACTAATAGGATTGATGTGTTTGATTTATATCAAGAGGACATTTATAATTGTAGAGGAGATTTGGGGGACTTAATCTGTGATAGGTACATGGAAGACAGAGCAACTAAGAAAATGGGACAAGAATTAACTCCAAGAAGGGGTGGGGTGTTGTTAGAAGAAGTAGAATGTGATCATGGTCTAGGCCTGACTTTGTGAATAATATTTATATTATTATAATGTAACAGTAAATATTGTTTTAACCAACTATTGTTTAATTACCATAAGGTGAGGATAGGAAACTATTGTGCAGAAAAGAGATAAATCCTCATCTTTCAGACTCGGAAGTCAATAGATAAGGTCTAAAATTGAAAATATCAAGAAATAGCAATGTGAGGTTTACATTTAGAAATATCATTAAATATTCATTAAATAGTAATGAAACTGTACAACTCAGGTTGGGAGTTGAACGCATGGTCTTTTCATTGAGATCACACACCTGGTCTCAGGACTTAATGAAGCTCAGGTTCTTAATGTCTCGTTACAGAAAGAATTCAGTGAGAGACAAAGTGATAGGTAAGAAATGGATTTATTTAGAGAGGAACACACTCCACAGACACAATGTGGGCCATCTCAGAAGGCGAGAGGCCCTGAAATATGGGGTGGTTAGTTTTTATGAGCTGGGTAATTTCATAGGCTAACCAGTGGGGGCATTATTCCAACTATTTTGGGGAAGGGGTGGGGATTTCCAGGAATTCGGCCACTGCCCATTTTTTGACCTTTTATGGTTGGCCTCATAACTGTCATGGCGCTGGTGGGGGTGTCATTTATCATGCTAATGTGTTACAATGAGCATAAAATGAGGCTCAGTGTCCACTGGAAGTGGAACCTTCCGCCATCTTGGACCTAGTTGGTTCTAATCAGTTTTTGTCATGTCCTATGGCTATGTCATTCTTTTAAAGGTTGTGCCCTGTCCCCTTCCCTCCTGTTTCAGTAACAGCAAAACCTAAAATAATTGAAAGTGACTGCCTTTGGGGTGTGAGAATTCAGTGTGTGTGTGTAAGAGTGTGACACTGGGCTTCGTTTGAAGCTTTGAGGTATTATATGACATTTTAAGTTATGTACATGATTAAAACTTTTTCGTATGTTAAGTTCTTCTAAAAGATCTTTTACAAGCTCTGAGGATGGGGAAACCTAGATTTGGATACAGTCCCACACTTAACCAGCTGTGTGAGTGGGGATGGTTGTTACTTAATCTCACTGCTCTGCTTTCTTCTTGGGTGGAGATAAAAATAGTAGCTACCTCAGGGCATTGTTGTGTATGAGATAAAATTAGTTAATGCATGTAAAGCACTTAACAGTGCATGGAACAAAGAAAACAACTAATAAATGCTGGATACTACTATCTTATTCCAGCTGTAGTGCCTTGGGTTCCACTTAGTAAACCTTTATATTGTATTTCATACAGGTTGGGCAAATTAACCATCATTATTTTTCTATTTTTTTGTGTGTGCTAAATTTCATGAGTTTTTTCCTTCTAAATAATTTAAGAATCATTTTATCTTCCCCACAAGAAAATAAAATTTTCACCAATGTGCACATATGAGTAATTGCCTTTTTTAAATTAAACTGAATCTGAAGAATGTGTCTTCTTGACAATTTTTAAAAGAAAATGAATAATATGATGAAGAAGACTGGCCATTTGGACCTAAAACATATGCTTTTATAAAATATGCTAGTCCTTCCAACATTGCTAGTGTCCTTTTTGGTGCAAAGAAAAATACTTATTAATAATGACTTTACTCTTTTAATTAAAAATCCATAAAAAGTAGTGGTAGAAAAAAAAGTAGTCTTTAATAAATAAATGTTCCCTTGTTCTCATTTACCATTTACCCATTCCTTTCTGCTGCTAACACTTAGTTAAGCAAAAAAGTTGTGAACACCCATTATGTGCGCTGTTCCAGGTGAGGGAGCTACAGCTACAAATAAAACAAAACGCCTACTCTCATAAAGCTCATTGTCTATGAGGATACCAACCAAAATTCTCCAGATTGCTTTCATTGCAGGTAAAGCAATTACAAAATCTGTTAATTATCTCAGGTTCTATTTTCTGACTTTGTCCTATCAGTATCCCAGCAACTCCATAAAATCTGATTCCCAGTTACTGGCATGGCTGCTGCTAATAGCCCAGATTCTGCTGGGTTTCATCTCCTATGAGAATTGATACAATAAAAGCAGGGGGAATAGAAAACTAGAGGGGACCACTCCACTTAATTTAGAGCCATTCTTTAAATGGGCAATAAAGACAAGGTTTCATTAGGAGGAACTTTTCAGGAGGTGTTTGATGGCAGGCAGGGGACTGGAGGCCAGAGTGGGGCATAAATAAAGAAGACTTTTACAGCTTGAGGGTACATGATGGAGGAGAAAGAAATAAAAATCAGGAACAGAAATAGCCACCCAAACTTGCAGCAAAGAAGAGAACAAAAACGAAAAGGAGAAGCAGTTGGAGGTCAGTAGAGGACCTTGAACGTGTTAGAAAATGACATTTGTAGTTGAAGTCACAGTAAGAGAAAGGAGAAACACTACAGCTGATGTCCTCTTGCATCCTCTTATCAGGCCTGGTCTAAGTGCTTCCTGTTCATGATGAACATTGAATATTCCTCAGGCATTTACCATGTGCAGCCACTGTTCTAAGTTCAGTACGTACTTACAGGGGTCATCTCGTTTAACCCTCACCACAGCCCTAAAAGGTGAATACCATTATGATGCCCGTTTGACAAAGAAGGTCACACAACTACAAGTGGCAGGGCCAGAATTCCGGTGCAGACAGTCTGGCTAGACTCTAGAACCTGGGGTCACAGTCCCCACACGCACTGCTTTCTGCAGGAGGATCGGTGGGCTGCTGCTGCGACTGCCGTGCGCACCAGGACCACAGCCTCCTCTTCTTCCTGGGCACGTGCCGGACGACCTCTCCCAGCCCCTTGCAGTGGGGCGAGGCCGGGGCTGATCCTGAGCATGAGTGGCTGTGATGTGCCGACTTCCCTAAAACCTCTCATAGGGTCACTCATGCTGGCTCTACTCCCTCGCCAGGAGAAAGATGCAGAAGACCCAGTGGAGAGCTCTGAGGCCCAGAAGATGGTGGAACCACTTGCTGGAAGTGATCTGACTCCAATTGCCAAAGACCCAATTGCACTTTAATGTTTTCAAGAAATAACCTTTCTAGTCTCAAATTACTGAGATTTAGGAGTTGTTTTAACAGTAGTTATTACCTACCCTGATTAATACAATACAATGGCCCAGGTCAGTAGTGATTCTATTAAAAGGTGATTTTATTAGTTTCCTTTAAAGCAAACAGGTAGTCGTAAGAGAAAAAAATAGGAGATAATTAAAATACCAATGAGAATAAACTGATGGGCAGTCATTCAATTAATTCAGTCATTTTATTGTATCACGTTCTAAGGGCAGGAAGCTTTTTGCTGTTAAGATCTCCTCTTTTTTCTGGAAAAGTTCCTCATCCTCTATAACTATAAAGGAAAACGTCAGCAAAACCACAGAGTAGTTCTTGGCTTTGCTTATAGAGCTAAAGCTTCTTCAGAATTCTTGGTGACCAGCAACCCAAGCAGTGGGAACCTGTGTGCTCTTGCAGGCCAGGGAGGCTTGCTAGCCCAGAGCTGGGACAAGCTGAGTCTCCTACTAGAGTCAACCTGAAACTGTGCTGGGGGATCCCCGAAGCTGAAACAGAGATCTTTGTGTTCAAGCCTGCTTCTCCTTCAATCCCCAGGCCATTGAGATGCTGAACTTCTAGGTTCTATCAATGCATATCGCCCAAGAGATTTCTCCAAGAAAGTTCCATACCCTTGTCACTGCTCTCAGTGTCTGTCTGAATATGCAAGGCCCTGACACACACACAGCTCCAGGCAATGGCCTCTCTGCTCTGAGACTTTAACCACTCAGTCACTGCTGCTACTTCAAAACCACTGGGGGCCTAAGAAGAGAAGGGGAGTGGTATTAGCATCTTTAGGGCTCTGTCAACCATGGAATGCTTGCCAAGCTGCAGTAGACGTGCCCACCTCCTGCCAATCGTATTCTACACAGGATAAGTGGTTTCTGAGTGGTAAGGGAGAGGCAATTTGGTGATGTTAAATGGAGAACACAGAAGAAAATGAGATTAATGGACTGTGGCCACTGCCTACTCCTCTATTTTCCTGCCTAAAGCTCCTTGAAAGATCCCTCTGGATTTGTCTCTGCCATTGGGGTAGGGAGAAAAACCCAGGGATCCAGAGCCAAGGCTCTATGGAAAGATTGACATCTTGGAAGCCTACAAGCCTAAATCCCTGGACCAAGCATTCTGTGAAGGTGAATTGGAATGATCTTGTCTAAAACAAGGGCAATCTTTGGACTCTGTGTCTTTGGCCTCCCAGGCTTGGCTCTCAGTCAAGTACTGCAGTTATTTAAGCTGGCAGATCCCCAGTCAAATTTTTTTTAAAAAGCGGTCAACCTTATGTTCTCTTCAGAAGCAATGAGCCAACTGGTATCCTGAGTTCCTCCCCAATACCAGAGGTTACTTCATCCTGCTTTACAATAGTCTAATGCATATCCCTAAGAGAAAAGTGTGATTTACTGCAATATCTTCCATGAGCGGCTGTCAATACCATAAAGTCATAGAGAACTTTAAAACTGAAAGAGATCCTAATGGAACAATTTTCCTCATTATGAGCTGAGTGTTTTGGACTAGAACATCTCTAAATATCCTTCCAACGGTACAAGTCTATGATTATGTGTCTATGATATGTGTGTATGGATGTACACACATACACATAAAAAGAGGTCATAAAGTATCAAGCTGAATTTTTTTTTTAGCAAACATTCCAAAATGTATATGTGACCCATTTTTTGAAGAAAACAGTTTCAACAGAGTGTGATCATGAAAGCAGTTTTAATCTTGTCCACCACTCCATAGTAAACATGGACCATTTTTTCAGGCCCCAGATAAAACCTCAAGCAGGTCCCATAGGTATTCAAGTCCCAAGAACAGTCTGTCATTTTAAAAGTTCAGAACAGTTGTTATTGAAACTCCAACCTAATTCTTAATCTAAATTTCTAGATCAAGTCGTCTTCAGGCTTGAAAGCCTGCAGCAGAGAACTGGCTGTCATTGACTACTTCTCTCCTCCTTTATCCAACTCCCTAGCAAATGTTTTAGACACCCCCAGGGTCAGACCCAGGGAGAGAGAGTGGATGAGGGAACAAAGATGCAGTCTTTCAATGCTGATAGGTTGCGCTCTGGCCTCTGCCCTCTGGGTGCTAGCTATGGAATAGCTGCCTCTTCCCCCAGTGCGATTTCTTAAAGTTTATTTCACTCAGTCTCCCTCGCTGTGTCTCCCCATCTGCCCCAAGATTCTGACTGCCTGCCTTTCTATTGGGGTATTATCTCTATGCTAGGAAGTTTTCTTGGGCAAGATCCATTTGTCTTGGTCCTTGTGGGCTGCTATAACAAAATGCCACAAACTAGGTGGCTTAGAAAACACAAAAATTTATTTCTCACAGTTTTGGAGGCTGGAAATCTGAGATCAAGGTGCCAGCATGGTTGGGTGAGGACCCTCTTCTGGATTGCAGCCTACTGACCTCTGACTGTGTCCTCACATGATGGAAGGAGGCAGGGAGCTCTGTGGGATTTCTTTTACAAGAGCTCAAATCCCATGCATGAGGCTTCACTCTCCTGACCTAATTACTAATCACCTCCCAAAGGCCCCACTTACTAATACCTTCACCCTTGACTAGGTCATGGGAGTGGAGCCCTCATGAATGGGATCAGTGCCCTTATAAAAGCGACTCCAGAGAGCTCCCTTGCCCCATCCACCATGTGAGGACACAGGGAGAAGACAGCTCTCTATGATCCGGGAAGCTGGCCCTTGCCAAAACTGTTGGCACCTTGATCTTGAACTTCCCAGCCTCATACCCGTGAGAAATAAATTTCTACTGTTATAAGCCACCCGGTCTATGGTACTTTTTATAGCAGCTCAAGTTGACTTAAGACAACACTTTTTCTCCCCAGTGTGAATGGTGGCTTGAGGGAGCATTAAATAATGCAACTTCTTCTCTATGAAGATGAAATGGAATAACTTAATCCAGGAATGCCTGGCTACTCCCATTAGGTCTTTGCAAACTGTTGTATAACCAATGTGGGTAAAGACTCCTGGGATGGCAACTGCAAGTTGATATGTAAGATACATTATATTTTTCAGCCTCTGCCAGATATGCTCAAAAGCTCAGATATGTAAATATCTGTTTGCTCCAGGAAACCAACAGAAATTCCACTGACTCATCAATAATGACTTCATTGTGCCCCACAATGACCTCCGTTTTCCCAGTACATATTAACAATTGCATTCCTACAAGCAAACCAAAAGATAGCTTATTAGTTCACTATTCATTTAATTATTGGAGATGGGAACCATGTGGTCCAGCTCAACAAGCTTAAAAACAATCTCTAAACGAGCACATTTTTAAGCGGTGATGGTTTGGCATTAATATTTCCAGGCATCTAATGAATGACTATATGCATATGGTCAAAATATATCATGGATAATCTATCACCCTGAGGTCATTGTTACTTAAAGTCAGCGATTAGTCCTTGGGGGGTTTATATGCTAGTCCCTATAAGAATGATCTCAGTTTTAATCACCAATGGAATAAAAGAAAAGAAAAAAAGAAAGTGAGCTTATTTAAATGTCATTTCAGTGGAAGAATAAGGAAGTGGTTTGGCTTCTTTCCCTAACCCTGAAAAATTGCATGACACACGGTAAATGCTCAACGAATGTTATTCTTGTTGACGAAAGAAGCGTGAGGACAATCATCTTAGTGTTCTCAGGACAGACCATGTCATTGAAACACTCTTGCCCACAAGCATTGGCTGGAATCACAGTCATTTATTCAGCAGCTGTTTGTGCCAGCATTGTGCAAGGTGTTGGACATGGTACAGTTAACCAGACACGGTGCTGCCCTCAAGGTGCTTATAACAATTAGCGAAACAAGCAAGGAGACAGGCGCTGACAATAGAGTGTGGTAAGATTTTTGGTGGAGGTATTCTCTTGGCTCTGGGAGCACCTGAGAATCACAAAAGGCTTTAATTAGGGATTAAAGAGGCAAGAGACCAGAGAGGATTACAAAGAACACAAGATGAAGGTCCTTGAAGGTCATGTGGAGAAATCTAGACTCTGTCCTAAGGATAATGAGGCACCATCAAAGTGGTGTAAAGTAAGGAAAGGAGGTTGCATGCGCCCTGATATGAATGTGTAGAAAGAGCTCTGGCTGCAATATGAAGAATGGAAGAAAGAGGGCAAAAATGGAGTCAGGGAGACTAGTTAGGAGGCTGCTGCATTAACCAGGTGAGAGATACAATAACTCAAATTAACATAGAGACATTGGGAGTAGAAAGAAATAAATGGATTTTAAATATTCAAGATGTAAAATTGATGGGCCCTGGTGATTGATGGATGTGGGGAATGTGGCAGAAGGAGCCAAGGGTGACGGACGTCAGGATTCTGACCGGGCCAACTCCAGGATGACGTTGCTGTTCACTGAGAAAGGGAGCACAGAGGGGGAACAGGCTAAGGGATGGAGATGATGAGTTCAGTTTAGGAAGTTCCCAGTTTAAAATGCTGGTAGGATATCCATGTGGAAATGACAAGTACAACATTGAATTTTCTATGGATTCTACAATGAACAGATAAACAGAAATGGAACGCACAAAGGATTCTAAGAAACTGGTGGAAAAGATGCATATCACTAAAACCAAGGGAAGACAGTTTCAAGGAGATAGTGGTCACTAGTATCAGATGCTGCTTAAAACTCAAATCAGATAATGCTGGGAAAGCAGTCTTAAAATTTAGCAACAGGTTTATTAGTGATCTTGGCAGGAACAGTAGCAGAGGAATGTCGGGACAGAGGCCAGATTTCAAGGAGAATTTCAGAGTGGAGGGTAAGGAAGTGGTGATGGTGAGTATAGGCACCTGTTTCAATACACTTTACTGAAGACAAAAGGAACCGATAAGGAAGTAGGTGGATGTTTTACAATGTAGATTTCATTATTATTCCAGTAATATGAGACCAACAGATCAGAGGATGACTGCCATTGAAAGGATAGTTTGTTACTCACTGTCTTCAAGAGGAGGGAGGCCAGGCCACGCAGGGTCCCACAGGGAAGCACCAGGAGGAAGAAAGAGACAGGGAAACACTGGCAGGAGATTTGATTATGGTTTTCACAGGAAGGCAAGGCAGGGTAAGTAGGCTTAGGATTGGCTATAGTTGGAATAATTTTAGCAGACTCTGCAGCATAGGAACTACTTCTAGTCCTCTAGTATCCAGCCCTGGGGTGATCAGGGCAGGAGGATAGTGGGCCAAGTGTAAGAACCCTGTGAGAACCCATAAGAGAGGTAGTTGGGGTGTGGGCTCCCGAATTGGTTAGTTTGCATAGGAAAAATACACTCTCCGGTGAGTTGTGTTATATCTCTGGGAACTAGCTAACCCTGTGGGAGTGCAGGGGGGACAGGGAAGACCTTCCCTGGCCAGCAAGCCTTCAAGTGCCAGAGCGTCGAGAATACAGAAGTATGAAAATATTGTTAATACACTGGAAAGGAATGTAGAAGCTGGGGAGAATATTATTTTTAGGATAGGAGATATTTGGACTTGTTTAAATGCTGATGAAATGAATTGGTAGCAAGTGAGGCAGCAGGAGAGAGAAGGGACGTGCCATGGAGCAGAGTCTATCAGACTGTGAGAGAAATACAGAGCCTTACAACTGACCTTGGCAATGAGCAATCACTTCAACTATGATGGAAGGAAAGGAGGAAAAGATAGGCATCCCTGCAGGTAGGTGTGTGGCAAGAATTTGATGGAGTTTCTCCCTGGTGGCTTTTATTTTCTCTTATAAAGTAGAAGAAAGATTCCCCAACAGAAGACTGATTTAAAATATATATACGTGGAGAGAGAGATGCCAACCTTACAGTCAAAAATTTTCTCTGATAGTGGTTTCACTTGTAAGTAAAAATGAACACAAAACAAAACTTTTCATTAAATGGTTCTCTTTTCTTCCTTTAACAGTTGGGTCTTAACTCCCAGCCTCCAACGGTAGACCCAGGAGATGCCTTAGCCAAGCTCCAGTGAACAGAGTGGGGACCAGCCCAGCTATTGACAACTCCTGGGTACCGCCTCCTTCATAGGTATGATTGCTATGTGCCCGGTGAGCCTTCAATCACCGGACCATTGGGGAAGGACAGAGAAGGGAGGGTTTTCTGAAGCCCAAGAAGAACTGGTGCCCCAGGAAATGATTACTGAAGAAGTGGGGGCTGACCTCAGAGAAGCAAAGGCTAAAGAGAAGGAAAACAAATCCTAAAGATAGAGGTCCAGAAAGGGCCAGTGCAATTCACTTAGACAACCAGATCAACTTCCTGACACTCACACAGCAGGTTATCGGGAACTTGAAGATGCTAACTCCCATCTCTCTCCCTCTCCCCACAGCCCCCTTTTTGTTTAACAAATCTTTAGACCATTTTCTGTATTCATTGGCTTCATATAAAGCATTAATCTGCTGTAAAGCCCAAGTGATGACTTCCTGTTACTTAGTTGGCTTCATAATATACTCCCAGAAAGCTGAAGCTCTTTCAGACTCCCAGACATCACTTCCCACTGCGGCTTCACGCGGCAAGGGGAATTTCCACCCCACACAGCTGACACCAGAAGGCTGTAGGGCCCTCTGCACACACAGGTGATCCAGATCCGTCCCCGATTGTGCATTACGAGGGCCCTCACAGGAAAGCAGTTTTCAAGGTTCCAGCTTTCCTTGCTGTTCTTCGGAATCTGCTTTCCAAATCAACCACGTAACCAAGTGGAGGGCAAGTTATTTGCTAAAAAAGCCAGGCCTCCCACTGGATCTTGAGGAGGGAACACACAAGTTTCTCCCACCCCTGCTCTCTGTGCCTACTCCGGGGATCCGGTTTCTGTGTACCACAAAGAGGGGAGTCCTTGAGAGGTGACCTGATCTCTCACCAACACCCTCCCCCCGAACCCACTCTCTCCCTAAGCTGTTGCAAAAAAGAGAGGCTCAGACCTGCTTTAGTAAAACCACTAGAGAAAAAGATTTCATGAACTTCTGCAACGACTATTTCAAAACTTAATGTTCTGATTTTGCCAGAGAGTGGAGAGTGTGTGTGTGTTGGGGGGCGTGGGACAGGGAAGGGAGCATCACAGCAGAAAGGGAAACCAGGAAACAGAATTATGAAGAGGAAGAGCCAGAAAACGAAAAGGTTTAACTGACCTCCAAATTGAGAATTTTGTGTAAAATTATAAAGTTCTCTCTTTCCTCCCCTTTGTTACCTATCAAGTATTTTACCACGTTCAGGAAGAATAAAACGGGACCTACTCCACCACTAGAAATGTAGTTGTTGGAGAGTTTTTTCCTCATTAAAAAAACCAAACACAACTATAGAAATCCCATGAGCCAAAGTAAACAGCTAGATATTCATATCAGGCTGGCAGGAATTGTCCCTGTGGGGTTTCCAGCCCACACCCCGTGCTGCCATGACTCTCCTCCTCCATTTCTCTCTTCACCTAAAGAGGGATCAACACTTTCAGGAATCCTCTGTGTGCCTGAATTTTCATGTTCTCTGAGTGCCCGTGGCCTAGGGCCTCCAATTTAAACACACAGCTGTTCCCAGCCTCCCACCGACTCCATTCTCTCCCCGCCCAAGCTTGCCCACCACGTCCCACCTCCACCCCGCCCTCTGAAATGGAAAATAGATCCTGCTCTTCCTGGTGATTTGCTGGAGCGTCTCAGCCAAGAGAACTCTCTGATGGCTTTATGGCAGAGACTAAATCCCTCACGCTTCTCCTTCAAATCAGTGGAAACACCTGTTGCCAGCGGGAGCAGCCAGTGTGAAAGATTTTCTGCCTGGAGGCAGACCATCTATCTGGGGCAAGAGGGTAGGGGTGGCACTGCTGGACCTTACATCACCTAGAAAACAGGTTCTTTTTCTGGGATGAATTTAGGTGGTTTATTGACTTCGCGGAAGTTGGAGGATAGAGTTTAACTTCACTCAGAAATGGTGGCTGCCGGTTGCTGCTACCAATAATGAAGACTCAGAGTCCCAAGATCAAAGGCTTTCTCCCCAGCATGTTTTATGGGAGCCAGGCTTTCAAGCGGTTGCTGGCAGCTGAAGGGAAAGCTGTGCAGGTCCCTGCTTTATTGGAAGGCTCACACCAGCTGACAGCAAGGACAGGAAAGGGACATCCAAGCAGAAGATGCGAGAGCACAGGGTAAGTCTTGAGTCTTACTGCTCTAAGGATTTGTGCTTAGGTGATGAGAACAAAGGAGACAATGGGACTGGAAGGTCCCTGACGTGGAGAAGATTCCTGCAGCGGTGGCTGTGATTCTTCCTTAGGTCAGCTCACCTCGGAAGTCTGGTAAAGTTAAACAGCACCGTGAAAGTGGGACTTCCAACTGAATTGGCTGGATTTCTTCAACAAGTCAATAAACATGGGAAAGAGGGGAAGGGACTGTGGAAAGTTTAAAGAAATTTAGGGACACAACAATTGACTGTCTCCAATTGGTTGGTTAGGGACCTAACAATGTATAGTCCCTGAGTGGATTCTAGTTTGAACAAACCAGTGGTAAAAATAATTCTGGGGACAGTGGTGATAGTCGGCAACTATTGTTTATTTTATTAGGTGTGATAATATGAATATGTGTGATAATGGTATCACAGTTTGTCCGGAAACGTCCTGGGAATTCCCTGGCGGTCCAGCGGTTAGGACTTTGCACTTTCACTGCCGAGGGCTTGGGTTCAGTCCCTGTTTGGGGAACTAAGATCCCACAAGCCATGCAGCACAGCCAAAAACAAAAAGTCTTTATTTTTAGAAGTGTATACATGAGTATTTAGGGGTAAAATGTTATTAAATCTGAAATTTACTTTGAAATAGTTGAGCAAAAAAGAGCAGGTGAAGTAAATATGGCAAGGTGTAAGCAATTAGTAAAACTGGGTAAATCTGGCTAAATGAGTATTCACTATGTACCGTACCATTTTTCTGTTCATATGAAGATGTATGAAAGTGTAAAAATGTGAAAGAGCTTAGGAAGATAAGAAGAGGAAAAGCTCCCCATGCAGGTCAATTATTCCCCAAAACACTGTTTGCAGGGACTGTGGGTAAGGATGAATGAAACCCAGTTGTTACGGTAATGGCTCAGGGTGAAAGGCAGACAAGTAGACAGACCAGACAGATCAATGTGTCAGGTGCCGTGGCAGCGAGGGAGGAGTGTGGTCTCAGGTGGGGTGGGAACTGGGAATTCGTATTTGAGGGGTCGGGAGCCTCCTAAAGGGAATGACACTTGGGCTGACGCTTGATAAATGGGAAGGCTTACGGGGCAGAGAAGTTACAGGACTGGCCTTTCTGCTCTAGCAAGAAAGCACTCTCAGATTTGGGGGGGCAGGGGTTGTAAGACTGGGTGGAAAGGGGGGTATGGGGAAGGGAATTGTCAGAGGACATGGCCTTTTAAGCCCATTCTGGCGATATGCCCCTGAGAAGGGGAAAGAAAGTTTAACTGAGGGTCTCGGGGGTAGGGTGTCGAGAAAGCCGTTTCTTAGAAAAGCCAGAAATGGGTCACAACAAGGCAAGACAGCTTTAAGGAGACATAGAAACTATCAGGCAGCCGCAGAGGTTGAGGCAAGTGCTGGTAGCCTTCCCCAGCAAATTTCCATCACCCTTCCTGGTGTTCTGCTTTTCTGCCCCAGAGGCCCTGTGCTCAAGCTCCAGAAGTCTGTTCCGCTTTCAGAGTGCTCCAGAGTAGACTTCTACCCCCGCCTTGGCTTCCAGGGGACAAATATTCTCAAATAACACTTAATCCTCCTTAAATTTAACTAATCCACTCATTGTGGTACCCTGACCTAACAGGAGGCAGACAAGAGCAGTAACTGGGGGCACCCCCAAATCAGCAGGTTATATATGTCCCTGCAGGCCTGAGCAGGGGTCCCCACAGCCCAGCAAAGTGGCCCAAAGTGGCTGATGATCCAGCATCCAATTGCTTCCAAAGGAATAGAAGGGTCTGGAGAGCAGCTACTGTGCCTGGTAAAGGAAAGAGGCCATAAATTATTCAGAAGACCTTTTTTCTAATAGACCTAGGGCTGTTGGAATGTTATTACAGAGTGAGAGGTTTGGGAGGAAACTTGGAGAATGTCTAACCTGATGTTCCACCCAGCAGGGATCCCTTTTACTTTGAAGTTTATGCTAAGTTGACCTACCAGAGTGTGTTGCCGTCAGTTTCTTAAGCAAAGGCCTCACCTATGATTAGGGTTAATTTGCAAGTTGAGGTCATGTCACTGGAAAGAGAAAAGGCAAACCAATAAAAAACAAAAACAGGGCTTCCCTGGTGGCGTAATGGTTGAGAGTCCGCCTGCTGATGCAGGGAACATGGGTTCGTGCCCCAGTCTAGGAAGATCCCACGTGCTGCGGAGCGACTAGGCCCGTGAGCCATGGCTGCTGAGCCTGCACGTCTGGAGCCTGTGCTCCGCAACGGGAGAGGCCACAGCAGTGAGAGGCCCGCGTACCGTGAAAAAAAAAAAAAACACCTCATTTCACACACAGATCTTTTTTCACTGTGGAAAGTAGTTTTTAAATTTATTTGCCCAGTACTAGCAAGTGAACTAATGGGATCTGAAGTTTTCCTGGCTAGGGACCAACTTTGTCCTTAGATACAAGGTACAGTGTTGTAGCATCTGAAACTGCAGTTAGATTCCAAAAGTAGAAAATGTGTAAGCTCAGATTAAAACTCTTTAATTTCCTTAAACGTAGGATATATTGTTGGATTATCTTCTAACATTTGAACCCAGTTTAGTGTCCTCAGTTGAACACCAGATAAAACAGTCAACTTGCAGAGGCCGTGTTGTATTTAAAAACAAAAAATAAACAACAAAACCCAGCAAGACACAGTAGAAGCAATAGAACCACATTCAGAAAGAAGGTACGTCACACTCTGAGAAGCCCTTGGAATGGAGACCCATCCAGGGAAGGTAGCCCGCAGCCTCCTGGTGCATATGGCCTCTCTAAATCACTGCCCTCTCTAAGTTGACTTTTTTCCTCTCAGTTTTTCCAGTGTGCAGTGATATGATTTTTCAGAAGTTAAATATGCTGATTACATAATTCCAGACGGAAGTTTAAAGAGTTCAATTTTCATTAGTGCATCTTCTTGTTATATTTTTTAAGATCTCATTAGGATTTCTACAACTGCTCACATGGAGCTAACATTTTTCTTTATAATAAAAAAAATTACCATTCATCAGGCACTTGCTAAGCATTATGACCAAGCATTAAAAATAGAGTCTTAGCTCTCCAGGAGTGAACAGCAAAGTTGAAAGAGAAGAATCAATAGAAGGCTGAACTGCCAGAGAATAATACAGGATGATTTGCTAGCTGCTCTCATCTTGCTTTGTGATGAGAAGTGTTGAGAGGTTTCCTGAGCTGGGAGGCAAGGGCCTCAATCAGACCATCGTGACTGAATCTGACCTCTGCCACTTAGTAGCTGTGTGACTTTCTAAGTCTCAGTTTCACTTCTGTTAAACGAGGATAATAATAGCACATGCCTCGTAGGGCTCTATGAGGATTAAATAAGATCGTGTGTGGAAGCGCCTGGCACACGGAAAGCATTCAATAAATTCTGCTATTATAATTATTATTCTGAGCGGGGCCCTGAAGGATGGGTAGGATTTAGACAGGCAGGTGAAGGAAAGAGAGAGTAGAGTCCAGGCTTTGAGGCCATCTGGAGTGAAGATAACGTTACACTCTGTGCTTCAGTTTCCTCATCTATTAATAATGATGATAATCGTAGTTACCATAATAACCGTAGTTACCACATAGAGTTGTAGTCAGGATTAAACAAAATAATATATTTTAAATGCTCAGCACAATAACTTGGAAGGCAAACAAAAGAGACTGGTGAGGCCAGTGGACTCTGGGGGAAAGATTAGGGAACAAGAATGGAAGGAAGACTTACCTCAGACTTACTTAGTCTATGCTCTTCAATTTCTTTTAAAAATTTTAGTGGGTGGAGATTACCAATTTTTAAAAAAATGTAATCTCAAAAACATATGCAAAAAGAGATCAGTACAGGGCTTCCGTGGTGGCACAGTGGTTAAGAATCTGCCTGCCAATGCAAGGGACACGGGTTCAAGCCCTGGCCCGGAAGATCCCACGTGCCGCGGAGCAACTAAGCCCGTGCGCCACAACTACTGAGCCTGAGCTCTAGAGCCTGCAAGCCACAACTGCTGAGCCCACGTGCTACAACTACTGAAGCCTGTATGCCTAGAGCCTGTGCTCTGCAACAAGAGAAGCCACGACAATGAGAAGCCTGTGCACCACAATGAAGAGTAGCCCCCGCTCACCACAACTAAAGAAAGCCCATGCGCAGCAACGAAGACCCAACACAGCCAAAAATAAAAAATTAAATAAATTTTTTTTAAAAAAGAAAAGGAGATCAGGGCAGAGCCCAGTACATAGTAAATACAAACAAAAAATGGGAACCATTATTATTATTGCTACAATAATTGTTATTATTGCTATATGTATTCCACGTGGAATAAGACGACATTCTTTCTCATCCTGCTAAAGAGAAAGAGTACAGAAGAATTTCAAGATACAGTCAAAATCTCAATATTTTGAAAAATAAGATTTGCAGAACAAATGTCAAAATCATGTTTAGCCTTCTGAAGTTTTCAAGTACTTAAAGTATTTTGGCAGTATATATTTAGATCAGAACAATTAATTAATCTCATCATAATTTTTTTCATTTAGGCATTTAAGCAATCGCAGCAGGATTTCTACTTGTTTTCTCAGCTATTTAACTGTTAAGGAATAGGCCTGAAAATAATAAATTTATGTTTACTTTAAAAATGAATGTATTATTTTTGTTTTTATCCAAATCAGAACTCTTCGACACTATTCTGAGTTACTGAGAGCTCATTGTAGTTTTATGCTTCAGAACAGTCTGTCTGTGTTTCTTCTCCATACTTTGAGCTTGAACTTATCTCTGCTTTCTCTTCTTTTTTTTTTTTTTGGCCTTCTTATGCATTGTTTCCCATTCCGTTCCTCTCAGATTCTCCTATAAAACACATTTGATGGTTCAGCTTGGTATGTTCTCATTGGCAGCCCTGTGGCCTTCTAAGCAAAGATGTCAATTCTATAAAAGCGTTCCCCAATTTCTGCAGAGACCCATGGGCCAGAAGATTAAATATCAGCCCTGAGAATCCCAGGCTTTGCTTTCCAGCCTTGGCTCGGAGCCCTGCCTCCCCTGTGTACTCAGACTCACCTAGTTTCCCATCACACACAACCTTCCAGGGACCTGGAGGGGGATCACTGCCATGAAGCAGCCGCCAGGAGCTCAGTTATGGCAAGGAGCCATGGTCACATAGGGGGAATCTTCCTGTGTTAAACTGATTGCTGATGTCTAAAAAAATCTGACCACTTTACATTTTGTATTAATCATCAGAGAGCCTTGCCTTCCTTCAGATAGACTCAGCCTATGACTCTTTCCTCTTACTACAGGAAATCTATTGTGTAGCAAATATGCTAACACTGCTTAAATCCCAGAGTAAAATTACAAGAAGTGAGAGGAAATACTCTCAGCAAAACCAACGTCATTTTATAAATAATTCTAATTTTTCTCCAAGTCATAGGCAGTATTTTTCTACAAGTAAATTTTACTTTTCAGATTGGAGATTGTTTTTCCATCTGGCTTTTCTACTTTCAAATTCATTTGTTACAAAACTGAAGTCAGAATTCTCACAGCTAGTCAGTGGCAACTTGATTTAGCTCTTCATCCAAGAAATGAAAGTAAAATTGATTTGAAGAGAGGACAAGATGTACAGAAAATACATTCAGAGATATCTGACTTTCCTGCTGTTTGCTGCAGAGCAGAGCAGATCTCACATTCCTTCTCTTTGGCCCCAAAACACTTCTCTGGAAATTCTCTTGCGTGACAGCCAAAGATACCCATATTTAGAGCATGACCTGTAAGTGAGGGCAAAGGATCACTTTTAAAAGAACAAGTCTGGGAGCTATCATTTTTTCCAGACGGATATGAAGTCATTTTCAAATAAAGGCATTGATTTCTTTGGGGTCTTGTCAGTGACAGTTCAAAGTTTGCGTTATCAGAGGAAGGGAGAAGCTGAATCTTCCAGGAAAAGATGATGGACTTAGTGATGGGAACTGAGGACAAGATTTTCTATAAAGCCATGAATTAATGAAGGTTAAGCTGCAGGGCCCCTTACTTGCAGAGGCCCCTGTGAGTGCTGGGGGTTAGCTGCTGGTGGGAAAGGGAAGAAGCATTTCCATGTAAGCATTTCTGGTAAATTGCCTAATCTCAGAAGGAAAGAACTCAAATCTCCACAGCTCTAGTAATTTGTTGTGATTTATTTTCCTCTTTCTGTATGTTTATTTTCATACCCATTTTTTTCATAATTTTATTGTATTTTCCTTAAAGAGAGTGCCCAAAGTTGTATAAGCTTCAGGACCTACAAAATCTGGCTCTACTGTTGTAACAGAATGGATAATATTTTATTATAATTTATTGCCTAGTGTCAGTCCCTAGTAATCTTAATTAGTGGCTCCTTTTTAATTTTACAAACAATTATAGGGACTTCCCTGGTGGTGCAGTGGTTAAGAATCCACCTGCCAATGCAGGGGAACACGGGTTCGAGCCCTGGTCTGGGAAGATCCCACATCCCGCGGAGCAACTAAGCCTGTGCACCACAACTACTGAGCCTGTGCTCTAGAGCCCGTGGGCCACAACTACTGAGACCACGGGCCACAACTACTGAGCCCACATGCTGCAACCACTGAAGCCTGCGCACCTACAGCCTGTGCTCCGCAGCAAGAGAAGCCACCACAATGAGAAACCCTCACACCACAAAGAAGAGTAGCCCCCGCTCGCCACAACTAGAGAAAGCCCACACACAACAATGAAGACCCAACGCAGCCAAAAATAAATAACTAAATTAAAAAATAAATAAATAAAAATAATTATAGTATAATGTTTCCCTCATTCAGCCAAGGCATGGAATGAGAATTTAGAGGTGTGTGTGCGTGTGCATGTGCGTGTGTGTGTGTATGCTGCATGCCATAGGTTGAATAGAGAACAGTGATATTAGGGCTCTGAAGGAGGGACTTTCTCCTTCTGCTAGAAAATGGACTATTAATGATTTTTCCTCACTGAGACATTGAAATGTTCTAAACTGGCAATATGTTTGTGGCTTTTCACAGTTATGAACACATACTGATATATCAAAGAACCCACCATCACCACCACCCACCCTTCCCTTCAGTACAATTTGCTGGACTGAAAGAGCTTATCATTGGATCTCCTATAAGAATATGGTTGAGCACGTTGTTCAGCGCTTCACACTATCCTACTCCAGGAGACTCTCCAAAGAATTTGTCTGGTCCTAGTACCAAGCATGATTTACTTATTCGAAGACACTGGCCTTTTTTTTTTTATCTTATCAATTATGTGAACTGTATAACCAGTCGTACTTCCCACTTTGAGTTGGTTGCTGGTAAGCCTGAAGTGAAATGTGCACTCGGGTCATGACTAATAATTACGGTGTGCTTTTGTAGTCGCATTCCTGGCTCTGTTTTATGTTGTCTTTCTTCTTTTGTTTCTAATTATTTTTCATGCTGTACTGTTCATTTTATGCCTCCTATCTCAAGAGAGTAGGGATATGAATTAATAAAACATTATTTCTAAAACATTCTGTTTATAGTTGTATCGTAGCCACAAGGATTTGTAGCAAAAATTCTCTACTTATCACGCCAAAAACTAAAAGGATTTTGAAGGTGGAATATTTAGCTGTGAAGCATCCTCTTGATGCTTCCCACTTACCCTCTCCACACTCATACTTCCGCTTGCTCACCAAGGGTGTCAAGTGTGCCTCTTACATCATCCCAGCATTCTGTCACTTAATCTCGGGGAACACTAATGGTGGAACTTGTTTCTATCCCATCAGAATTTATCCCACCATCTATCTCTCCCCATCCCCATTCATTATAAGGAATGCTCTGAGAATGCTTAGCAAGATTCAAATTGTACTCAGCATATCAGTAAAATGTACTCAGGGCAGATGGATACAAATGAAGTTTGAGAAGATTCTTAAAGAGAGTGTGAAGGCACTCTGGCCTAGGAATGGCATTACAAATAATTCAGACAGGAAAGAGATCTGATCATGGGAGGGGGAGGCCCAACCTCCCTGGACCCTCCAAAAGACTTGAGCTATCTTTGTAGAGACACTAGACCTGCTGGAAGAAGCAAGCAAGGACTGATGTACGGAGAGGCCTGAAGGTGTGGAAAGCTGCTGATTAGCGGGGACAGGGGTTTAAGTCTTGTCAGGACAGTCTTCCTCTGGACTAGTCTGAATTTAATAGCCCCCATCCAAACTTCTAATCACTCAAAATTTCAGATTCAGATCAGTGTGAGAACAGAGTCTAAAGAAGACACTTGCCATTACCCCCAAAATTTAGTTCTAATGTCCTTTTGCCCCAAATGCCCCTCTTATGTAAGTGTTCAGTCCCCAGGCTGTCCCTCCATAGCATCTCCCACCTGTCTAACTTCAGTCTCCTAGAAGCCCTCTCATTGATACCATTGATCTCTTTTCTCTATTTCAGTCAGAGGTACATTTCTCAGACTTGTTTCTCCTTATTCCTAAAAAGAGGGGGTGGGTGAGCTGTGGGTAAATTTGAGATTCTGCATGAACCAGACTAATCTAAGTATTTTATTTCTACTCACAGATTGAGATGACTACTACTGAGTTATGTCACCTAAGAAAGGAAAGTCAACTTTCAAAAATACTTTAAGACCAGATGGAAGGAGATATTGAACGGTGTCTTAGTCAGTTTGGGCTGCTATAACAAAGTACCATAAACTGGGTGGCCTGTAAACAATATAAATTTGTTTCTCACAGTTCTAGAGGCTGGGAAGTCCAAGATCAAGGTGCCAGCAGAGTTGGTGTCTGGTAAAAGCCACATCCTGGTTCGCAGACTCTGCAACTGAGGTTGCAGACAATCTAAACTGTGACTATGGCAGACACTGTTTGTTGCTTCCCAGTGTTCATTCCCCCACATTTTCCTTTGCTAACAAAATCCCAGTTGTATTAGTTGTATTAGTTGTATTAGTTGTATTAGTATTAGATGACCATGTGTCTCAGAAACACTGGGCTCTTCCTCCTTCCAGGGATGAATCCTGATTAGGCTGATCATGGTATTCTATCAATATTTAGGTTTATAAAGCAATGCAGGAAGCAGGGCTGCTAGGGGACTTCTGGAAGAGTTTTCGTCATCCTTACAATGGAACATGACGAAGGGTCATGGCTTTTCCCCTCTTCCAATCTCAGGACATGATGAACTACAGCAGCCACCTTGAGGACATGACGGGATGAGCCTGAGAACAAGCTGAAGATGGCAGAGCAGAAAAGTGGACAGAACCTGGGTCCTTGGTTACATCTTTGAGCCATTGAATTAATCACCTCTGGAATCCCCTTGCTTCTAGAATTTTAATGAGAGGTAAAAAAAAAATTTTTATTATTTAAATTCAATTCAATTTTGTTTTCTGTTACTTGCATCAGAAACATATCCACTGATATAATGACCAAAAGTATAAGAACCAAAAAAATAATATTCAACACTCTCCAGAAATGAGTATGCCCACTGGGGACAATTAAGATTCCCAGCAAGACCAAGTAGCACCAACTTAAGTTATGTAAATACCACTCTTGTCAATTTACCATTTTCATTATGATTCTTTTGCCTAAACTTATGCATATATCCAGTAGTTTCCCCTAAGTTATTTTACACTCACTACCTTTTTTGGAGAGGGCAGGGAGGGTTTGAGGAAGCAGCTGGTTGTACTCTAGAACAGAGTTCAGTAAACTTGACCAGATAAAGGCCAGATAGGAAATATTTTATGTTTTGTAGGCCATATGTCTCTGTCACAACTTCTTAACTCTACCAGTATAACACAAAAGTAGACATAGAGGGACTTCCCTGGTGGCGCAGTGGTTAAGAATCCGCCTGCCAATGCAGGAGACGTGTGTTCAAGCCCTGGTCCGGGAAGATCCCACATGCCACGGAGCAACTAAGTCCGTGTGCCACAACTACTGAGCCTGTGCTCTAGAGCCCGTGAGCCACAACTACTGAGCCCGCAAGCCACAACTACTGATGCCCAGGCGCCTAGAGCCCGTGCTCAACAAGAGAAGCCACCACAATGAGAAGCCCGCACACTGCAGTGAAGAGTAGCCCCCCTCGCCGCAACCAGAGAAGGCCTGCACACAGCAACAAAGACCCAACATAGCCAAAAATAAATAAATTTATTTTTAAAAAAGTAGACATAGATATTATATAAATGAATGAGCATGGCTATATTCCAAACTTTATTTATGAGTGCTGAAATTTGAATTTCATATAATTTTCATGTGTCACACAATTTTACTTTTTGATTGTTTTCAATCATTTAAGAATTTTAAAATCACACAAATGAGTACATGTAAAACTGGGAAACTCTAGACAAGATCAATGGATTATATCAATGTCAGTGTCCTGATTGTATATTGTACTGTATAGTTTTGTGAGATGTTACCACTGAGGGAAACTAGAGAGTATACAGGATCTCTCTGATTTTTTTATCATGGTAAAATATACATAACATAAAATGTATTATTTTAATCATTTTTAAGTTTACAATTTAGTGGTATTAAGTACATTACAATGTTGTGCAACCATCACCACTATCTACCTCCAGAACTTCTACATTGTTCCAAAATGAAACTCTGTAGCCGATAAAAAATATCTCCCCATTCCTCCCTTCCTGCTGTCCCTTTTCAGTTTCTATGAATTTGACTACTCTAGGTACATCATAAGTGGAATCATATAGTATTTGTTTGTGTCTGGTTAATTTCACTTAGCATAATGTTTTCAAGGTTCATCCATACTGTAGCTTGCGTCAGAATTCCATTTCTTTCTAAGGCTGAATAATATTTCATTGTATGTGTATACCACATTTTGTTTATCTTATCACACATTGATGGACATTTGAGTTGTTTCCACCTTTTGGGTACTGTGAATAATGCTGTTATGAATGTGAGTGTACAAACATATATTTGTTTGTACAAAGGTCCCTGCTTTCAATTCTTTTGGATGTAGACCTAGAAGTAGAATGGCTGGCTCATTTTTGGCTAGTAATTTTTAATGGTTGGTAATTTTTAACTGTATTCTTAACTTTTTGAAGAGCCACCATAATGTTTTCCATAGCAGCTACATTATTCTACATTCCCACCAGTAGTGCAACAAGGGTTCCAATTTCTCCACATCCTTGACAACACTTGTTATTTTGATTTTCCTAATTTTTTTTTTTTTTGGCCGCGCTGTGCGGCTTGCAGGATCTTAGTTCCCTGAACAGGGACTGAACTCGGAGCCACAGCAGTGAAAGCTCTGAGTCCTAACCACTGGACTGCCAGGGAATTCCCTATGGATTTTCCTAGTTTTTAATAGCCATCCTAATGGGTGTGAAGTGGTATCTCATTGCGGTTTTGATTTGCATTTCTCTATTGATTATTGATATTGAGCATCTTTTCAAATGCTTATTGGCCATTTTTTTATCTTCTCTGGAAAAAGGTCTATTTAAGTCTTTTGCCCATTTTTTGATAGGTTGTTTGGTTTTTTGTTTTTAAGTTGTAAGAATTCTTTATATTTTCTGGATATTAATCACTTATCAGATATATGATTTGCAAGTATTTTCACCAGTTCTGTGGGTTGCCTTTTCACTGATGCACAGAAGTTTTAATTTTGATGAATCCAGTATGTCTAATTTTTTTCTGTATAGTAATACGTGCACATAGTATAATTGCATATGAATCTACAATTATCTCAAATTTGAAATGTAAAAACCATTCTTGGGTTGTGGGTCATACAAAAACAAGCAGTATTTGGCCCCAAATCCATAGTCTGCCACCCTCTGCTACAGATAGAAGACGGAGTTGCAACTCTTTCCTTGTACTCAAAACTCTATCCAGTCCCTCATCCTGCTCCTAACCCACTGCTTCTGGGGCTTAAGAACTTAAAATACTGCAGCCACATATATTTCTGTATATTTCTGGATATGGGTATAAACATGGTGCTTTTTTCAAATAAATTTATTTATTTATTATTATTTTTGTCTATGTTGGGTCTTCGTTGCTGCACATGGGCTTTCTCTAGTTGCAGCAAGCGGGGGCTACTCTTTGTGCAGTGCGCGGGCTTCTCATCACAGTGGCTTCTCTTGTCGCGGAGTACGGGCTCTAGGCGCGCGGGCTTCAGTAGTTGTGCCTCACGGGCTCAGTA